CGGGAGGAGAGAGGTGCCAGGAGGCAGGAGGGAGTTTAAACAATATATGTTTTTATATTGAGGGGTCTCTCTTTTCTGCGTCCAGCGCGGAAAGAGAGCGGTCCAGTTCTTAGAGTAGGGGCGCTGGGGATTGAGAAAATGAAAGAAAGAGACAGACACAGAGATGGAAGAAAAAAGCTGGGACCGGTGGCACCGCTGCCCTCTTCTGATGGAAAGACAGGGACCCAGTACCGATATAGCGTGTTTATTTTATACCCCAAATACCAGGAAGTGCTCCCGAGAGCCTGCGGCCCCCAGCACCACTTGGAATAAGTGGTCAGGTACGAATTAAATGAAGCAGAAAGCAGGTACTGTGGAGCCGGCGGAGAATGAAGGCGTCATACCCAGAACGGTCATGAGGGTTATCCCAGCACCTTTCTAACAACGAGAGTAAATCCAAGCGATCCAGGTGCAGATTACCATCGGGAGCAACCACTCCCACAGCTCCTCCTTTTCCCCCCGAGATGCCGCACACAGGGGCCAGGGCTCTCCCCCAGCACAGCCTGTCCTTCGGGGACCCCCTGCCTCCAGCTCGGGGTTCTGGGACAACCAGCCGGTGGCCGTCGAGCACCTGGTGCCCAGGCCCATCCTCGGAGCTGTGCACAGACGAGGGGATTCATCCTCTCCTGTGTGGACACCTGTGTCCCGATGGCTGAACCTCGAGCATGACGCTCGGTGAGCACAGCCAGAACCCGTGGCCACTCGGTGTGGGTTCCATTTAGGAGAAACATCCAGACACGGGGGTGAGTCGTGGTGGCCGGAGGGTGGGTCTTTCTGCCGTAACGGACGCGTTCTAGCTGACTGCAGCGGCGGCGGCACCGCTGTGAGGGCCTGGAGCCCCCTGCACTGTGCCCACGTGTGGCATGCAGTTACCTTTCAATTGGCTGTCTTTGAAGAAGGTGAGCTTTAAACAGTCCCAGCCCAGCCTGCTCCCTGCTCAAGGGCAAAGACAGGAGTGAGCGAGTCCAATTCTGGCTTCTGCCGGGCCCTGGGGTCCCACCCCATGATGGGACCGGGGGCCCTCCATTGGGGAGAGGGTGTCGGGGACCTCAGAGGGCCCCAGGCGCTACCTGTGGGTGAGCCCAGTGCCTGTCCCAGGCCCCTGCCGCCCTCTGGCTGGGCCTGGGCTCCCTGTCACTCAGCAGAGGGACCAGCCCAAGCAGGCGCTCCTCGTCCACAGCCGGCTGTTAGCTCCGCGCTCACTGTGCAACCCCACGCGCTGCCCAGTTTCTGGCAAATGGAGGTGCTGGGTCAGGATTTGTGGAGGGGCAGGCATCCAGCCCTCAGTCACAGATGCACCTCCAGGGGAATAGAAGGAAGAGACCTGTGGTGGCTGCACTCGCTCCTGGGGGACCCTGGCTGGCAGAGATGGCCCAGCCTGACACACAGGGCGTGTCTGTGCTGCCCCCTTGTGTCCAGTGACTACAACAGGCTCTCACCCCCACAGCCACCACCACCAGCACCGCTGGCAGGGGCGGGAGTTGGGCTGCTGGGCTCAGAGCTCACACCAGAGGTGGTACCAGGGGAGCCAGGCCCAGCGGAATCATAAACACCCCCCGCCTCGACCCC